TTCCACAAGAAGGCCTATACACTCCTCAATCTCCATACCAAACAGATTTTTTATAGCAGGCATGTCAAATTTCATGAGAACTATTTTCCCTTTCATCATCTTTCATCTGCTTCTTCTTCTACTGTACTGCCCAACATACCCTCTGACCTACTCAACATTTTTTCTTACCCGTCTCCCAGTTCTCCACTTCATACCTCAAACCCTATACCACAATCTTCCCCTACCCTCTCAACATCACCTCCCTCTATTGGATCTGACATTCCTTCAGTTTCCTTTCCTTCTTCCCCTCCCAGATTATCCACTAGAGTGCGCAGGCCACCTTCTTACTTACATCAATATCATTGTCCTCTCACCCTTCTGCTCTTTCTTCTCATTGGTGTAATCTGGTCCACTTAAACACTTTGTCACACAGCCATCAAGCTTTCCTTACCCATCTCTGTTCCTATACTGAACCTACTTTTTTTGAGGCTTCCAATGATCCTAGGTGGGTTGTTGCTATGAACAAAGAAATCACAGCATTATAGGCTAATGACACTTGGGAGCTTGTTGATCTTCCCCCTGGTAAGCGAGCCATTTCCAGTAAATGGATCTATAAAGTCAAGCTTAAATCTGATGGCTCCTTGGAAAGATTTAAAGCTAGACTTGTCATACAAGGTAATCACCAAAAATATGGCATCGACTTCACTGAAACTTTTTCTCCTGTGGTCAAAATGTCTACCATTAGATGCATAATTGCCTTGGCTGCTTCAAGAAACTGGGAACTCTCTCAATTAGACATCAACAATGCTTTTCTACATGGGGACTTAACTGATGAAGTTTACATGAAGGTTCCTTTGGGTTTTTCCAACCCTACTCATCAAGTGTGTCGTTTGAAGAAATCTCTTTATGGTCTTCGCCAGGCAAGTCGACAATGGTTCACCAAGTTATCTTCTGCTTTTTACAGTCAAGGGTTTGTTCAATCCAAATCTGACCCGAGTCTGTTCATCAAATATACCTCTGATCACCTCACTCTAGCTGCTGTCTATGTTGATGACATACTTGTCACTGGTTCAGACCCTGCTGCTATTGCTTCTCTCAAATGCTTCCTCGATGCCACATTCACTATCAAAGACTTGGGCCTTGCACATTACTTCCTTGGTTTTGAGCTTACTTATACCTCTGAGGGCATCATCCTTTCTCAAAAGAAATTTACCCAGGAATTACTTGCTGAGCATCACTGCCTGCATGCCAAGCCAGTCAAAACTCCTCTTCCTCAAAACCTTAAATTTCAACAGGGTGATTCGTCTCTCTGTTCTGATCCAACAATCTATCGCAGTCTCATTGAAAAACTTAATTTCCTCACTCATACCCGACCTGATCTCTCCTACTCTGTTCAAATTCTCAGTCAATTTATGCAAACCCCTGAGGAGTCTCACATGAAGGGTGCTATTCATCTTCTTCATTATTTGGTTGGAACCATTGATCAAGGCATTCTTATGAAGGGATCTGACACCTTATCCTTACATGCCTTTTCTGATTCTGATTGGGCTTCCTGCCCTTTTTCAAGGCGTTCTGTCACAGGTTACCTAGTTCTCCTTGGTGGTTCTCCCATTTCATGGAAATCCAAGAAACAAAGCACGGTTTCCAAATCCTCATCTGAAGCTGAATACAGAGCCATGTCTCAGGCTGCTTCTGAAGTAACTTGGCTTATCCATTTACTCGAAGAACTTCGTGTGCCCAACTTAAAACCTATCACTCTTCATTGTGATAATCAGTCTGCCATACACATTGCCAAGAATCCTGTCTTCCACGAACGAACAAAGCACATCGACATTGATTGTCATTTCACTAGGGAAAAGATTCTTGAAGGACTCATTCAGCTTTCTTATTTGCCCACCACAAATCAACTAGCTGATGTCCTCACCAAAATCATGCCTGCTGATCAATTCCAGAAGCTGCTGTCCAAGCTGGGCATGGTTTCTCCACCACCCAGCTTGCGGGGGGGTGTGAAGATAACAGATTCAATGCCAGCTGTAAAGGGGTCAATGCCAGCTGTCACTTAGTGTTTAACTAACCCCACTGTTTGGGGCTTAATTTTAGGCTTTGCAGTTTTCTGTTAGCTAGTAGTTTTGGTTCCTTTATATACTCCTTTTCCTTTAGCTTGTACGCAGACTTTCACAGATGGAATAACAACTTCTCTTCCAAGTTTCTTTACTTTCTCTTTCTTCCATGGTGTGAAAGTTATCATCACTTTTCAACCCCCCAAAAATGAAAAAAGATGTTAAAAATAAGGGGGTTTCATAGGCATTTTCTCACTAAGTGGGATGAGTGTTTGAACCAAGCAACAATGTTTCTTTTTTGTTAACTGTGGAGCTAAGTTTTCACAAGCAAGTAAACACAATGCCACGGGCTCACACTTTGTTTAGAACACATTTCCCCTTGATACTAGCTATAAAAAGCTTTGAGGTATTTCATATTTTGTTTTCCTAGGAGATGATTATGGGGCACTGAGGTGACTGCACTACTTGATAATGTCGATAACTGTGACAAGAAACTCTTCCCACAGCTTTGACATGGAAAAAACAAGCATATCAATAAATTAGCTGCACATGATCACATCTTCTAGTGTGACATGTTTGAAATATTACAAAAAACAATTACCTTATAGCGAAGTACACGAGGATCAAACTCTTTCCACATGTCAGATAATGCTTTTAGAAACTCAGACTTCTGCATGTTGTCTCTTTCCTGCGAGTAATGAAAGATTTATTCTTAAAACCTCAAGCTGTTGCCACTTTACGTATATTTAAGAGACACCAAATCTATACTTCAATAATCCAAATACAGGGGATAAACTTATTGCAATACTAATATAAAAAATAAAATACATATACAATCTGAGTCATATGTAAAACTTAATGGTGTTTTGCCCAACTTTATGATTGAACTTCCATATATGATCTGGTTCAATTTCTAATATTTCATTATAGAGTCAATTCCCAAAATGGTACTTTATAATAGGGTGTTTTCCCAAATCAGTCCTCAATAACCAATAATAACCTACTTGGTACTTTATAATTGAGATTTATTCCCTTGGTAGTCCTCCGCAAAAAAATGTCCATCAAATGACTATTAAGTGTAGTGTATTTTGGTACTCCCTCCGTCCAAAAATTTCTTTCCCGGTTTGACTTGACATGGAGATTAAGAAAAGTTAAAAAGTGTAAAGACTTTCCATGTGTTGCCCTGTATGTGATGGAATAAAGTGAATGGTATAGAGAAAAAGTAGGGGTATAATGGTGTATTCATTAAAAGTTTTTTGCCAAAATAGGTAACGGAAAAGAAATTTTTGGACATCCCAAAAAGGAAAGTGAGAAAGAAATTAATGGACAGAGAGAGTATTTTTCATCATCTAAACTATAAGGAAGTTCTCAAAATAGTCGTTTCTAATTAAATGATTTCTCAAATCACCCCTCTGAAAATATAATTATAATACCATCCCAATTGTCGAAGGGTTATCGTTGGAAAAAATCTGAATTATAAAGTACCATGTAGGTAATTATTGTTTATTGAAGACTGTCAAGGAAACATATCTCAATTATGAAGTACCATATAAATAATTATTGCTTATTGAGGAGCGATTTGGGAAAATGCCTATTTAGAAAGGACTCTTTATTATATCCCAAACACACACATGACACATCTAGTTAAACTAAATATCTATCTAATCAGCTAAAAAAGGGTCAGACTTATATAATTCTTGAATTGGCTTTGTCATAATCAATGATCTTACAAGCATGTGATCTAGGAAGCGAAGAGCACGCAGCCTAGTATCATCTCGAAAAAAAGATGAACCTGCAAAAGAGAAATAGAATAGTGTTTGGTACATGTAGTGAGTCAATAAGACAACACCTTGTACATAAATATAGACAAGCAGCAACTAAGATACACATGCGCACACAGAGAGAATTATGTGTGCGTGCATGTATAAATATTAGAGGTGTAGCACATTATTCTAATTTATGCATTTGTAAAGACATTTCGGTTGAAAAAATACCAATGGGGTTCAAACTCCATAGAACCAGCAGAAAGAACATGTATACAAATGAGTTAAAAAAACATATATAAAAAGAAAATAATCAGCGCTAGGCACCCTCTTTAAAAAGTTCTTCCCTCGTCTTTGAGGTAGAGACTAGAGATAGCTGAAAGCAAATAAAGCGTGTAAGCCAAGGGTGACAGCTCAAACAGAAACAGTCGACCAGTATATAATTTGCACATCTTATTATCTAACCGCCTTGCCTGTAAAATCAACGGCGGTTGGTCTGGTAGCCTCATTTGTAGCCAGCATTCTTTGCAAATCGGGTACTAGCTCTTTTGGTATGGAGGAGAAAGCCTCACTGGATAAGTAATTCAAACTATTCATGTACTGCAGAAAAATTATGGAAGAACAAAAATTATCCAAAAAAGGACAGAATTATGATATAATAAGTGAATACGAACTTGTTGAAGTAATAGTTCTACACAAAAGTAAGAATATTGAAATGGAATATTACTATCTACATACGGAGTAATATAATTACTCCCTCCGTCCCACAATGTCACTATTACGACCTCTTGATAACTTTTGTTGTTTGTATATTTTCATTGATCATTTGATAAAATAAAAAATCTCTTGTTTTGTAGAACTTTTGATGTACTTTTGAATGGTGTAATTTATATAGTTTTTATTTCTAACCAATTTTTAATTAAAATGGTTTTAAAAGTGATAGAATTTTGCACGTGGTTCGGAGAGTGACAAACTTTGTGGGACGAAGGGAGTATATACCCCCCCCCCCCCCGAAAAAAACTCTTTCTCAAATGAGTTATATACCAACACGCACACTACTCATCATTTTGTGTTTTTTTCTTTCTTTTTTGGTTTGGCGTTTCAGCGGCAGAGGCTGTTATAGGGACAATCCAGAGTAAAACTTTGTTACTGATTTTCTTAAAAAAATTAGTTCACTATCTTTAGACACTAGTTGGAATTTAAGCATTGCCACTGGTGGTGCTTATGAAGATTACAATGGGAGTGGCTTGTCATGATATAAACACACACAATTGTATAGAAGTGTGTATCTACTATCTAAGAGGCTAAGAAGCAAAGACACCAACATGGCAACAAGTAGCACAAATACGAAGTACAAGTGTACAACGTAAATTGTACATGCCAACATTGCATTTTCTTATAAACTGACAAAAATCTGAGTAAGCATGTTGTCAACTTGTAATGCCATAAAATAAAAGATTGATAGTTTCACAATAAGAGAGCAGATTATCAAATATCAATATCCAGACATCAAAAAGAGTTTTCATGTATTAGAATAGAAGGGTTGTTTAATCAGCAAAACATAAACCTATAGTGATTTCTATTGCACTTTACTTATCCTTTCAGTGTTAGACATGACAGATACTTCTCTTGAACGTTCATACCAAACTACCAAAGTCAACATACGTAAAAATCACTCTTCAAGTACAAGAGCTAAACACAAACCATTATGGGAGTATAGTAGGTAAATGATGTTGCAAATGAGATATAATAGACTACCATCTTGACATTGTTGTGACAGTCGAGCAAAGGCTTTCGAGCAATCAAATGGTAGGCGAGACACCCAAAACTGAAAATATCAGAGGAGTACCCAGTAGAATTTGCCTTACTTCGAACCAATTCAGGTGCAGTGTAGTTCAATGATGGCTGAAGGGGCAAAATAGAATCTTCAACATCATATTCCTAGAGAGTACAACACACATTGCTCGTTCAACACTGGCACCAATAATACTGACAAGAATTGAGACGAAACTTAAAATAATGGTGTTCACTAGATTAAATCTTATACAATAATATACGTACTAGAAAGCTAAAAGATCTTATTAACATAATACATCACTGCTTGAAATTCGTAATACAGTTTCGTGTAAGCATATAACAGGGTAAATTGAGATTTTAGTGTCTAGTTCCATCACCATTTACTCACAGCATAGTGGAAAGCCTGAAAGTTAGATGGATCACTAGATGATTGAGCGGATATTGCAAAGCCAAAACCAGCAAGCTTCCAAGCTCCATTTGCAGTAATGAGGACAGTCTGCAAGATCACAGTTTGCATTTCAAATATTCAATGGTATAATCCATGGAATTCTTGTAATTTTTGGACAACATGCTCATTATGGTTATGAACATTGCTCATTTCATTGTCTTTTCATGTTTGTACTTATATTACTCAGCTCATTTAGTTGTCGGGGATGCTCAGCTCATTGTCTTCAAAGAATGCTCTTTTCTAGATGTTAGATGTACTATTATCAAGGTCTGGATGTATAATATACCTACTCAGTACTCAGCACAACCTATGTTATTAATCCTAGGATATCATCCTAGGATTCTCAGCAAAATTTGTATACAATGCTACTAACCACAAACGGCATATAAAGTATAAACAACCAACCAATAAAAATTTATACAGAACATGGAAGGGGCACTGAATCCCACTGATATTCATAGGCAGGACCTGGCAAACTATATTGTACATCCGGGATTCTGGATGTATGTACATCCATGATTTTTTGTAGTTTTTTGGACAACATGCCCATTATGGATATGAACAATGCTCGTTTCATTGTCTTTTCATCTTTGTATTTCTGATCTTTTTCTTGTAAATAATGCTATTCTACTTGTCGGGGATGCTCATTTTGTCTTTAAAGAATGCTCATAACCAGATGTTAGATGTACTATATGCTCAAGGTACATCTGGATGTATAATATAACTATTCAACACAACATATGTTATTGATCCTATGATGGTCATTTCCGTAGCAGATCATCAGAATATCAACAAAAAAGAAAATACTAATGAAGTGATTCTCAAAATGAGTTCAGCACTAGGCAATATTGGAACCTACAAAGCTATGCCTTTTAGAAAAGTTTTAGATCATGAATGAAGCACAACATTACATCAGCAAATTAACTGCGTGCCAGAAAACTATAACAGCAGCTGAAAAAAAGTATTGCTACAATAAGATCTATATTCCCTCAAGTTGGTTACCAGCGTGTGAGATAAAGCTGGACGATAATTGAGGGTCAATATTACCATAATCAGCTACACATCTTGGTTTAGTGCAATCAACTATACCATCAATGATATAAGAATGGCTCTAATACCTTCATCATAATTTACTCACAACTACATTGAGGTCAGTGGCATGAATTTATTTTCAGTTAGTTTAACTGTCTAAAACTAGTTGACTCAGTAAATTCTTGCTAGACACAGTAGGAATGTTTTACAAGAGATGTCCTTCCTGTTCTTGCCGCAACCTTTTAAAGGGAGAACAATGAGAAGAAACTCCAAAACCATATGATTATAGATAATTTCCATTTTGCATGGAAAATATCAGAAAATGATGAGTAAAGAGAGTTGCTATGGTCAGAGAGTGTCAGAACCATTTAAAACTCATAGAGATAAAAAAAAGGAATACCTTTATAAAATAACAGCACGCCTATTGTGTACAATAATCTATGAAGTAATTTTATGCTTAAAACAAATTTTTCTGATGGTTGAAACTCTGACAGTCTATTAATTAACTCTATTTAAATTTACAGAACTAACAACATTATACTCCAACTTAAGGGAGGAAAAGAAACAGATATTAATGGAACCAAACCAAACATACCCAATACGCATATTTGTGCAAAAAAAAGTGGGATATAACCTCAGGTGATATGCTCCGATGAACTAGATGGGCATTGTTGTGAAGGAAATCCAAGGTCTCTGCCATCTGAAGTAAGCCATGTTTCACTTCTAGCAATCCCATTTCCTGCATTGAGAATGTCAATAGCAACCTTCTTAAACAAAACATTCTTCTAAACGAACATTCTGAACTCATACCTGATGTGCCACAGACAGACTATTGTTGATATACTCAACGATAAGAGTACATTGAACTGATTGAAGGTCAAATGATACAAATCAAAACAGTGATATAAACATCACATTTTAGAAGTGGAGGTGTGGAACCCTCTTTTAAAAACAAAATAAGCTCAGGTTCTCTCCGCATATGAATCTTCTAATGCTTGGACTGACATTCACAAATTGAATAGAAATCACTTGTTCAATCCATTTTCTAGAAAAACTTAAATTTGTCATAGCTAAGAAAATCGAGTGTATTTTGAAAAATTGGAAATGCAGATGAATCAATGGCAATTGGATGAACACTTAGATCATTCAAGGGAGAGAAAGAAAAAATAACAGAATCTGGGAATTTGACATTACAATTCCTTTGAGCTCCTTGGACACTTTCTCAATGTTCTCCAAATTCCCCAGCACATTGGCCGCAGAAGCAAATAACGGCTCAGTTACCATGGCCATGGAATTCTTACTCTCGTCGAGGGCCTGCACCACGTGCACCACTCCAGGGTGTCTCAACCGCACGAGCCGTGCAGCATCGGCTCGAATCATATCAAGGAACGCGTCCTCGCTGGTTTTCGAGAGCCCAGCCCGTTGCCGAGCTTCGGAAAGAGCACGCTTGTCGAGAAACCAAACGCAGACATTAGGATATACCGAGTGTCCGTCTCGGGCCTTGGAGGAGTACAGCTTCCAGACGAGGCCAGGTCCGGCAGAGCCGATCTGATCGCCGAGGTCGAAGTCTTGCAAGGCCCGCGGTCCGGTGACCTCCTGCACGGTGGTCTGGACGGTCTTCTCGATCACGGCCGAGGCCTTGGCCAATGCTTGGGTGAAGGTTTTTTTCATGTTGAGGGACATGACTGGGATTACTGAGTTTCAATGTGTGTTCCAGACTTCCAAGTACTTGATCGGATCACTCAAGCCAGGAGGGGAATTGGCGGCGGCGGCGGCGAGAGAGGTGGCCGGTGGCGGAGGAATCCAATTCACGACAGCCAAGATCAGTTGATTCAGATCCCACCTTCCCTCTCACTCTCTTGTGAGAAAAGACTATTTTGGCTAGATTTTTCATTGCAAATCATAGGTTTGTTCATCACTTTTAGTCTAATTTCATTCAAGTGGTCGAATTCCAATTTTAATTTTTTTAGTTAATTGTTTTTAACCTTCGATATATAACTAAAAAATATATATTGTATATTAACTAGATAAAATAATATTTTAAAAATATTTGACATAATAAATCTAATAAAAAAATTGAATCAAAATCTAATATCATTTTTATTTAATTTGAAGTTAAAGCTAACCAATTTTGATCGAAAAAAAATCAAAAGTAGATAAATATTCAGGGGCGGAGAGAGTAGAAAAAAATAAAGGATGACACTCTGTTTTTGAGAGTCTTTCAACACTGATCAGACAGTTAGATGGCATGAGATATGTTGAGTTATAATTTCTGGTGGGTTTTAGAACTCAGACCTAGAGTGGATTAAGTAAGAAGAGTGGTTTGAACGAGCAAGTGCCCTTAAATTACATAAGTGTAGTCCGAGTATGGTATTGTTCTCTATATTATGGAAGTAATTCTGATTATGATGTCCCTCTCTTGAAGTGTGGGGGTATATATTTACACAAGTTACACATTTCTACCTATTTGTCACCTAGTTGTTGTCTGCGACAAGACCCAAGTCAGGTCCATGCAGTAAGCTCATGGGGCATAGAGTCCATGACAGAGGTACAAGGAATATATGTGAAGATACATGCATGAATACGTTGCACGGATGCATTATACACTAAGCATACGATGTTTTTGAGTGGGCCCGTAGGTTTGGACGGGCAAGAGGATCCAATGCTTCTTGTAATCTCGTGCTTAAGTCCTGGGTCGGGTACGTATCCAGCAGAGGTTAGGTACAGATTTTTGTCATTTTGGTGCCCGTACCACCAGCGTAGATTGCCGGTTCCGAGTTCGTGTTTCCAAGCAGAGGCCGGGTGTAACCATGCTAGAAGATTTGATTCATCTGTCTCACACCTTGCAAGATATTCTTCGCTTGGGCGAGTGTGATTTGTATCTTCAAATTTTAGTGGGCTTTCGTGTTGGGCATGCTAATTGGCTAGGCTAGATACCCACAGTCTAGGGTATCCTGTTGGTGATTTTAGTGTCATCTGTTTATTTTGTGTAATTGGATTTACTTAGATCGGACAAGAATTTAAATATACGTTGTAAAATGAGTTAGGAGGCGCGGAGTGCACACTCGTTCAACGATATTACAAATTCATTGCAGAGGTCCGGGGTCCAAAGGGCAGCAGCCCCTGGCGGGGTCCAAGGGGCAGAGCGGGCAGAGCCCCTGGCCGGGGACTAGTTGGAAATTTTTTATTTCCACTCGGCCGGTAAAGAGGCTGAGTGGTTAAGAAATTTGGTATATGAGATTCCGTTGTGGCCTAAACCGATATCACCAATATCTATAAGATGTGACAGCGCTGCTACCTTGGCTAAGGCATATAGTCATGTCTATAATGGTAAGTCTAGACACATGGGTGTTAGACATATCATGATCCGTGATTTGATCAAAAATGGTGTGATGTCGACTGAGTTTGTTAGAACTCAACACAATTAAGCCGATAATTTAACTAAAGGGTTAAGAAGGGATCTCGTGCAAAAATCAGCTAAAGGGATGGGATTAAAGTCTGTTTGATATCTCTCTTGTTAAGATACCCAATTCCCACCTAATATGACGTTAGGTGTAGAATTCAATGTGGAAAGCTTAACATCTAGAGATTGAAACACAACATTAGCATCATCCAAAGGTATGTGTTCAGAACTGCAAGTTAAAGAGGTTGAAGTTAATCTTCTTAATAGTTATTTTGAAAAACTGTATGTGCAGGTACAAGACATAAAAGAACTACCTATACGAGTATGAAGTTTAGTCGCTTCACAAAGTTTAGTCGCTTCACAAATGAGTTATTTGCAACAAAGTTTTTTATGAGGTAGTGACACTTTTAGGTCACGTGTCGTTTAATTTATTTTGTTTTTATTGCTTATTCTTATTATAATCAGATAAAAAAATATCAGATCAGATCATAAATAAATTTAATTATAACTATAATCAGATTAAACAAAATCGGATCAGACAAATCAGACCAGATTTTCAAAAAATTAGAACAAGATAGATCAAGTGAACAAAACACAACTTTAGGGGCTGTTTGTTTCAGCCTCTTAATGGTTCAGATGTCTGAATGATTCAGCACTTAATGGTTCTGACTGTTTGTTTCAGCCTCTTAATGGTTCAGATGTCTGAATGGTTAAGAGATTTGCCTCTGAATGGTTAAGTATTATACAGAGTCTGAATGGCTAAGAGCTGTTATCTGAATTGATCAGACATTTGCCTCTGAATAGTTAAGCAATATACTAGCTCTTAATGGTTCAGACCTCTTACTGGTTCAGCACTTAATGATTCAGACCTCTTACTCGTTCAGCACTTACCCATTCAGAAGTTGTCAAACAGCCCCTTAGTACTCGTAATATACATCCAAGGTGGGAATGTTACAAAATACGGAGTACTATTTACGAAATACCAAAGTAATATACATTATATATACTCCTTCCCCTATCCTAACTCTAGCCATATGTTTATTACAATTAGGGGTGGACACGGTACCGGTACGGTACCGCCGGTACCCGCCACCGTCACCGGTAAGGTAGCCGTGTCACCGGTTCCGGGAACTGGTACCGGTACCGCCACTTTCGGTACCGGTTCCGGTACCTATTTTTTGGTACCGGTACCGGTCCGGTTCCGGTACCGGTTTATTTATTATTTTTTTTTGTTGATTTGAAAATCCTATGCAA